GCAAGACAATCTACTGTTTTGCTTTGAATAACTATATTTGCGAATTGGGAATGAGGATTTTGAAATTATTGTTCAAATGATTACAGATATACCATTTGTATAAACAATGTACGTTTTTATATACAGTACTGTACGGGCTAATATTATACAAATAATGAATGTTTATGAGTGCAATGGTAAGAATATTTTCATGAGGTGAAAGATGGAATGTTCCATTCAACGAGGCGACAGCCGAGTTGAATGGAACATCCCATCTTTCACCGAATGAAAATATTCTTACCATTGCACGAAGAAACATTCATTATTTGTTTTATATAATACCAAAAGTCCAGAACAGACTAATAGATTCGTATGAGAAGCATTTTGAGGGATGCGATTTATCGAAAACACAACGAGTGCAATTGTACTATACGTTTTATTCCATTGCACTCGCGGAGAGTGCAATGGAACGTGTTCCATTGCACTCTTGGGAAATGGAATTTTCTATTCAATATCACGTGACCATAAACATCCAATTAAACGATTAGAATTTAATAAATAGAATTATATAAAATAAATTATAATTGTATATGTGTTTGTATATTTTACAAACACAAGACTGCTTCTTGCCAAAATATATATTAATGTAGTTGTGTATAAGACAAAATTTCATGAAAGATTCTACTTTTGGTATATATTTTGACTCATTTTGTGCTTTCGCTACACCTTGTCAACATATAATTAAATAATAGTGTTGCTTTGAACTTTATGATAAAAAAACCGATTTTCTAGACGTGTATACAAATAAAAATAGTAAGTTTATAATACTATAAATGAGTTTATTTTACCCGTATCGGTTTAAATTCGCCGTTAAGTTGCAAATAATTCTGTTCGAGAACGCAATAATTGGGCATTTCGCAACCAGGGCAGTTTCAGGGCAGTTTTGGCCTTGTTGTTGGGAAATCCACTAGGCCTTCTAGGCTTGCTTCCTCCGCCCCGCCCCCAAATCACCTAGTCCCAGTCTTTTCATGTGAAAAAGCGCCGAATATTAAAAAAATATAAATAAGACTAGAAGGCCTAGGTGTAGGCTGGATTATCCTCAATTACACGCTTAGTTGCATCACCTGCAGATTACGCATGAGTTTACTGTATAAACACATTTAGACTGATAATATGCTCTAGACTGTTTTAAAGAATCACTTCTTAAAGTCACTCCTGTATGTTAAATGATTTGCCTGGGAAGAGGTATGTCTAGGAACGAAAAAACGAAAATAAACTCCGATACGTGATGAATATATTAATCATTTTTATTCTACAGATTTCTATAATTATCAACTTCATTCAACCATAAGCTCACATGCGACCCTCACGTACGTGTACGAGACTGATCTAAACCCTTCAAATCGGGAGGTGAATCATTCAAAACCATGGAGTCTTTTCCTCCCCTTCCCCCTAGGTGAAGTGTTGCTTCACAGAAATGCAATATTGGTCCCTTTTCGCTAACATCTGAATTGCACAGTAAATATATAAAGTTGTCGGTAGTTATATGCTGGCGGTAGTTGTTTGCTTTGGTATAACGTACTACAGCAACAAACAAGATATTAAACTCAAATATAAAATCAGTACGTTCCCGAGACTTGCAGAATGATAAAGAACAGAACTTTTTTTTATAAAGAACAGAATTGATATTTGCTGTGTTGGTGTAGTGTACTCAGGCGAATAAGATGCTTGTGATGTTACTCTGAGTGTGTATCCACACCGGGCAGGCTTGGAAAATATGCCTGGCCACGGTGGGAATCGAACCTACGACCTTTGGAACACCAGCCCAATGCTCTGCCAACTGAGCTACGCGGTCAGGTCGGTTCGAGCAGAACAGAATTAGTAAAGTACAGACCTCCTCAATGGAAACCAGCCGGAAAAGATCAGCAACGAAAAGATGTGGGAAAAGAACCAGCAAATTCTGTATAGTAGATAAAGAAATAGGAAGAAGATGGCGCTAAATTTCTCGTCTCACGCCTTTGATTTTAAAATGTAAACAAAACAATTTTAACACGCGCTGTTAGTGAAAAACTGTGTGATCATATTAGTTTTGAAAACCAAATCAAGGAACCACAAGACAAGAAGTTAATTCTCAGTTTAAATAGAGATAGCCTGCGTAGCAGGCACTATTTAGGGGGGAGGGCGAGGGTGGGAGAAGCTAAGGGGGGGATGCGAAGGCGAGAGAAAGAGAGCGAGGAAAAATGGGTCTTTCTCTCGCCTTCGCATTCCCCCCGCCCTAGCTTTTCTCACCCTCGCCCTCCCCCCTAAATAGCGCCTGCTACGCAGGCTAAAATAGAGAAGACTTTGACTATTCTATAATCAAATTGACGCAGGAGTAAAGGTCGGGCAACAGATATAGAGTTGACTTTATGCTGAAGTAATGAGAATTTATAAATTAATCGATAAAAAAATGGCTATAAAAACTTTTCGTGAGTTATATTGTAAACGAAATAGAAAACTTTTTTGCTGTGTTTGTATACATGCAGTTATAGAAACACTTGTGGTAGTTTGGGAGAAAATCGAAATAACGTGCAAAAGCTATCCTTTGGGAGTCGTTTTCCCACTGAATATTTCTCGTTCTCCCAAACCTGTTTCTAGATAGTTATATGTTTTCCATTTCTTAATCGTGAAATAGTCTGCATCTTGTTTTGTTAGATATTACTGACTTTTTGAATTTCCGTTTTAAATTTAGGAATTAAATTAGTTACGATTTTCGTCATTCTGCGTTTCTGCAACGCAGCCGCTCGTAATGCGAGAGATATTTATTTGACATTTTCAACTCTTTCTCAAATCATCACTTCAAAATGGAATAGAGTGAATATATATCGAAATTATAATCTCGAAATTTCTACAGACTTCTTGTAATACAAATTCCCTCAAAAATTCGAAGAAAATTGCCGTCGTTTCCACAGTGATCCACGGTATTCTCCTCTCAAACTATATCCTGCAAATAGACGCCTGACGCAGGCTACTTGAACATATATACTTGAACTACAATATGCCGCAAGTGCCGCGATAGCCTGCTCGCAGGCTAGTGACGCGGTAAAACGTCAGCTCGGAATAGGTAAGGGCCTGTGGTAAAAAGGTAGTTAAAGTTAACTACAGATAGTGCAAAAGCCGTAATCAATCAAAATCGCGTATTTAATAACTACAGTAATTTAACTACAAAACAGTGGTCAAAAAGTAGTTAAGAGTTTTATACAACTGCATGGCCCAGCCCCAGGGTACTCATATACTATATACCGGCTACTACATGCATAAGTACCCCTACGAAGTGCGGAGTGCGGAGTCAGATGCAGATAATTATATAGCTCAGACGATCAGTCTGTTTGTTTGCCGCATTTACACACAAATTAATTATCCAAAGTTATTTTTTGTCCAAGTTCGTCAAACTGATCATCTCCCTTTTGAGTTTTATTAAAACAATTATTTCAACAGCGCTGCATTTATCTCGACAATTATTAACTTCTTATTAACCGAACGCGAGGTCTGCACAGAGAAATATCGGAGCGATATTTCTCTGTACATACCGAGCAAGCGAGGTTAAAATAAAAAGTTTATTATTATATGGCATTTATTAGCCTCCTCCGCAGGCAACTCTTTGGCAAAAATTGGCAAAGCCAAAAGTATTATGAATGAATAACAGCGAATTTAAAGTTAGGGATTGTTAGGGATCACTATTACCACTTTTGCCAATTTTTGCCAAAGAGTTGCCTGCGGAGGAGGCTAGGCATTTATACTTAAAACAAACAAGAAATACATGACTTAAAAATAATGCATATTAGTAGCGTAGTACACATTTGGTCGAAGAAAACAAAAAATACCAATGACCAATGTCTTTTCCACTAAAACCATTCGCAGATATCTTATTAATAACAAAACAAATTATAATTTTCAAATTTTCAATTAGTTTTGTTACCGTCTTAAAATGCATGCGTTTGTTTTTACGTATTACGGGAAAATATAATGGAGCGCTGAAAGTGTTTCTCAGTCAATCACATGCAGTCCACCATTTCACCGGAACGGCGGAAGTGATGCTTACCATACAATAATACGTATTAAATCAGAAATATAATCTTGAAACATGACTAAAAGTAAAACAGAATTTTTTTACTCTCACTACCTACCATGATATTATTTGATTATATCCATACTGGAAATCTCTCTCTTGTTGTTTCCGTACAGGATAAACAAGTTGGTTTTCATGAAAATACAAAACTTTCTTTAGTGAAACTAAATCTGGCCTCAAAGCAATCAGTTCTGCAAGGTTAAGAACCGAACTTGAAAATAACACTCTAAACAGGAAAAAAGAGAAACATATTAATTAAGTATTCTTATTTCGTAAATGGACAAGCCTAATAATAAAACTTATAAGTTTTCATATTTCAAATAGCACAGTACGCGAAAATACAACCATGCATCAGGCCCACCTGGTGTTTCACTTTCAGGTATATGGTATTTAGACCACTTAATTTATACTTTTGTTATATACAGTATTTTATTGTTAAAATCCTTTAAACTATGGGTAGAGTCTCGAGAGTATCCTACATTTAGTACAATAGTATTTTTATATCACATAACCTGGTACATTGAGTTGGTCTGGTACATTGTCTACATTGAGTCAGTAGTATCAAGTATAGCAGGCTCCCATTAGGCCTGATGCAGCCTAGGCCTGACAGGGCTAGGGGGTTAATATAGCCCCAGATGTAAAATTTAAAAAAAAAAATAAAACCCAAAAACAACAATCAGAGTAAAATTTTGAAAACTCTCAACAATCACAATTGGAATTATATTAATTGTGTCACTCTGTGTTCCAAGGCAAAATATTTAGGTGCACAGGAGGCCTATATTAATGGGCCATTCCATGTAATATGTGTACCCCCCCCCCCACCTTATTGAGGGGTCTGGATATTCAATGGGGGAGGAGGGCCGGGGTCCTCTGCTTATAAATTTGCTTACAGGGTAGCTTGAGACTTTTATTTTAAATGGCAAAAATTAGCAGTGGCGTAGCCATGCAGGATCTAAACTTTGGAATGCGAGCGCCAGAGGGGTGAGGAACCTAGGGGGGTCCAGGGGCATGCTTCCTCAGGAAAATTTTGAATTTTTAGATTCATTAGAACGCTATTTCACATATTTTAGGACAAGGTTTGAAGAAAAGTTACAACCACAAAACACCATTTTTAAGTCGCCTAATGTTGTTTAAATTGGAAAAATATTCATATAAAACATTCTACTGTACACACAAACACAACAGCAAAATAGCACAATGTCTTTTGTAATAAAAAGAATGAAGCTCACTTGGCCAGCATATTTGAACTTTGAAGTTGGTCATGAGTGCTGCTATGCATGTAAATTCAAGTTCAAATGTGCTTTCAACCACCATCTATAGGCATTCTTACTGGAGTTAGGATTCTAGATAGGGAAGACTACAACTTTATTGGTAAATAAAAGAGATGGGTATCGTTATTCACACATAGTCCCCCCCCTCCAATTTCTGCCCTGATTTCAGCTTTTCACAAGGGCAGCCCCTCCCCCATTTATGCCACTGAAAATGAGATGTCTCTATAATAATGACATCCAACAGGGAAAAAGAGATATAAGATATCCTCTGGGGTAACTTGCATCCAAGGGGGTTCCAATTAATTTTTATATCCTAATTAGGACTCTAGATTATGAAGGAACCCCTAATGGAATGGCCCAATGGCTTATTGCATTTTTAATCCCCCCCCCTATGGAGGACATCCATTGTTTGGACCCCCTCTCTTGAGGGGCCTGTACCGGGTTCCGAAATCCCGCCCGATTTTCACTTCAAATCCCGTTATCCCGCCATGCCTCATCCCAATTTCCCGCTACCGAGTTTGTTTCTAACACTGTTCAACGTATTATGATTTAAAGAACATGGTACGACATAAAACACAATTTGAATACATTAGAATACAATACAACAAAGTTTAAAATAATAAATTACTCTGAATCGCGATTCTAATGAAAGCAGCAATCATACATGTAAATGGGGGATTGATGGGGGAGAAATGTTCGATATTATCCTGGAAAACAGTACATTTCAAGCACACAAACAAATGACAACAGATCAGCTAACGTACAGCTACAAGTTTTGTTGTTTTATCCCGCTAATCGTGGGTTACTTCCCGCATATCGCTATGGTATTTTTATTAATCCCGCTTCCCGCGATGGAATAAAATCCCGCTTCTCGCCAATATTTCTCTTAAAATCCCGAATCCCACTTCAATTTTAGACGCATCCCGCCATCCCGCAA